TCAGTATGCTTCCAGAAAGTTCATTGAGAATCTTCTAAGCTCCTTGTATTCCGAGATCCTTCCAGAGGATTCCCTTGCATTCATTGCCTGCGCTAGCCAGCGTAGGCTACAGGAATCCCTAGGCTTAACAGCCGTTACAATAGCTAAACGTATGTCCTGGCTTGCAATAAAGTACAAGGCATTACCTTCCCAACTATTCGGCGCGCTACCAGGACGCTTAGCAGTCGACCTGGTATCGTGTGTCACTTATAATGCAGAAGCTGCAATGAGATCCAACAAAGTCGCAGCTATGGTCACGCTGGACATTCAAGGTGCCTTCGATACAGTGCTACACAATCGGCTGCACGCACGAATGCGAAGTCAGGGCTGGCCGCTATCACTCTGTCGCTGGGTAGAATTGTTTGTTAAAAGACGAAAAGTCCTGGTAAGATATGAAAAAAGCGTAACAGATAAGAAGCTTGTTGAGTGCGGTGTCCCGCAAGGATAACCACTTTCGCCACTTCTATTCATGTTATACATCTCGATACTACTCGAGGATGGCACAACTAACTGTAGATTTGGATACGCAGACAACATCGCGATTGTCCGAGTTGGTAAAAGTCCTTCTAAAGCTGTTGAAGCTGCCCAGGTTGAAGTAGACAGCATAGTCCAACTGGCTACAATACACATGATTAGATTCGACCCTTCGAAGTCTGAACTCCTGGTAATCGGGGGAGGACCGAAGAAGAAACTCGACTCATCCAACCTAACGGTTAGAGTTTGGGAACAGCTTATCATGTCTTCTCCGCATATACGATGGCTCGGAGTTTGGCTTGATTCTCAACTATCATTCAGACGGCACGTTCAGGAATGGTGTAGTAAGGCATAGCAACTGTCCCACTTCATACGCAGCATAAACAGGGTTCATCTAGGAGTGGCTTCGAGACCGTTAATTCATGCGGTGAATGCATGTGTAGTGAGCACGGCATCTTATGGCGCTGAAGCCTGGTGGCCTGGACTGACCCGTATCACGACCAAACGAGACAAGAAAGAAAGTACGGGTGTCGGATGGCACCTCTAGCTACTAGATAGGACTATTTTGACTGCAATTCGAGCTGCACTCCCAGTGTGGCGGATCACACCAAATATAATTCTGCACCGAGAATCAGGGATCTTACCTGCAGAAATAATGCTCCAGCAGCGACAGCTCCGAAGTGCAGCCAGAATCCGCTGACTTGATAGCTACCATCCACTCGCGTCAAGGGCAGTTGAGACACCAAAGAGGCAACCAAGCGACTCCAAATGCAAGTGGGGAAGAAAGGACTGGCCTTAAGGGTTCCAGAGCGATACTTAACACGCCTTCAGAATGGGAACCTCAATCTACAAGAATCAGAAGGTCCCCGGCAGCTTTATAAACCGCGGACCGCGATTGTTACAGCCGGGCTCAAATGCTACAAGGAGGAAAAGGCGAAGCACATTAAGCTGTGGATTAGAAATTTTTCCGCAGGCACGCTGTGAATCTACTCTGATGGGTCACCTACCGGACCAGCATACTCAGCCTATGGCTACGCCATCTATAGGGACGGTGAACTTATAGCGAGCGGTGGAAATTTCCTTCCTGGAGCTAAGGTCTTTGATGCGGAAATTATCGAGGTAGTACGAGGTCTAGAGGCAGCGTTAGAAATTGGTGGCAGCACAGATATCAAGGTACTCCTTGACAATCAAGAGGCGATTAGAGCCCTTCAAAATGGCAAAACAAATTCCTCGCAAGTAAAGGTCATGCATTTCTGGGGACTACGCCAGACTCGACCAGCGATAGAGGTCTACTAGGTCCCGGGACATAGCGGCATTCCAGGAAACGAAAAGGCCGATGCGATGGCAAAGGCAATTCTTACGTCAAATAATCGGAATGGGAACATACCGGGACCAGAGGGCATCTGGGAGGAAACTCACGAAGTTTTGACTTTTGCAGCTCTCAAACGCCAAGTCAACATCCGGGTACAAAAACTTGCGGAAGAATGGTGGCTTAAGAACAGATCGAGTAGGTATGAAGATCTGGACCTATTGATGCGGAGAAAACTCCCTCCGGAGCTAGCTCTACCTCGATGGGCATATCACCGCCTCATCGCAGCAAGGACTGGGCATGGTGACTTCGCTAGCTATTATAGACGGTTTGTGACGGAAACCGAGTTGGTTGTGAATAAATCGATTTATTAAACTACATGAGGAGAAAAGAGAACTCTAGCTACGACTAACAGGTATTTATAAGAATTGGTCCCCTTCGTCAATCTCCAGACTGATGACTTATCCTTAGGCACAATACTTGCTACCCAGCCACGCATTGCCAGGTGTTACTTAGTTGTAGTAACGCTTTGACCTCCTGACCAGTAGTGCCGCTTAGTTGTAAATATTCCCGACAATCCGCTTAGGTATTCACTAAGCTCTAATAGCGGTCAAACCGTAACACGGTTCCACCACCAGAATGAAGAAATACTTTGCAAATGTGGCCGAGAAAAGCGGCCATGGCATTTTGCAGAGTGTCGCCCGACTATCCAGAAATGGAGGACGGAAACAAAAGAACCACGTCCTACGATCAGGGATATGATAGGGCAAGAAGGATGGCAGAAATTCTGGCGCTTTTTAACTGTAACAAAATGTTACAGGAAGAATGAATCATAAACAGGGGGTTAAACGATCAACTGTAATGCTTCTTGGGACCAATTGGCGTGGTACGAGAATTAAGGTGCAGTGCAGAGAATTAGCACCTTAGAAATGGTTTTTTAATTTGTTATTTTTGTTTTGCGTTCCTAGTTTCTATGAAAAAAAAATATAGGTAGCGAAGAGTCCTATAGATCAAGACTACCCGTGCCATGCCCTCTGGGTGCTGGGGTAGTACCCGGTCACGATAATAATAATATCATTCACATATACTGACATCAGACCCCCTTTGATTGGATCCGATCGTTACCTGTGATACCAGCATTGCCATATCTTAATCGGAACCATCCATCCTCCTGAGCGATTGCTAGCTGTCACGGTTCAAGTGTATATGCTGGAGCAATCAGACTTACGAAGGTAGTTTATAATTTTCTCCATGGCTAGCTATCAAATTATGTTCGGATTATGTCCTGATCAACGATGTCTATTCCAATTGTGCTATGTTGCAAGCTACTGTTCTAATTATTCATGGGATCATCATCAGGGTTGTGAATAGTTTCGATTTGGTGTGGGTTATTAGATTGATACCTGAACGTGTCGCATAGTAGTCAGACATGCGACTCGAGTAGCATATGTACGGTAAACCTCAACCCCAAAATGATGATACGAATCAAGTTTTACATGCTACGTCCTGTATGGCTAGCGTGGTTGGAATATGGGGAGTTAACATGTAGATAGATAAAGACGATGTAGCCCTCTGATAGTTGGGACAAGTCTTCTACAATATTATATCGGAATCAATACTAGCCTCTCATTAAGCAATCTCATGAATTATTTCTAATGTCTGTGATAACAGACATACATATACAATGTCGACGATCAAGTTTAAAGTCTGTAAAAGTATTAATTCAATTTTTTATACATTTATGAAGATATCTAGAATACTTGTTCTTGGTTGATGTCTGCTTCTCGCACATTCCACTTGCAGTAGTTCTCAGTCTTGCTACCAATTACTAGAATATTCCAGTCACAGCTGGGGGACTATTCTCAACACCTGTCAGTGGTGTCCCCTACGAACCTCCAGCTCTCACTGTAGATTCTGCGAAGCCGAGATTGAGTAACAAAGTCCTGACTTCGATAAGGGTTCCCAATCGCTTTCGCCGTCTGTATCGTCTTCATCTCTCAACACATCCTCCTATCACCATTATCATGAAGCTAACCACGATCAGATCAGATGGTAGGGTCGGAGCCCTACTCATCACCAACACTTGATCATGGAGGAAAAGCCATTCGATAAGTTTCCGGAGCGAACTCAGCACCCGATACGGAGATGGCGGATTGGATCAAGTCGGCGTCGAATGTTACAAGGAAGGGAGATATAGATGAATATACGCACCTTATGTGGTCCCGGTGTCTAGGCCTCGCCTGGCTGGGGCTGCAGGATTTTTGAGAATTTTTCCCGCGCACGCAGTTTCCATTGCTACCTTTTTTTTTGGGGTAGAAGGTTCCGTGGAAAAGGTGGCCGAATTTCCTGGGTAAACACTGAGCTGAATGGCTATTGATCACTCGCAATATATCAATGACCTTCAGAGAAACATGAGAGGCAAGGAGCACTGTACAAGGTGTGGCCTGGGTCAGAAAGGAGCCCAATGTGCTAGATATTCATAGACTCAATTAGTACAATAAACATCACTCACTCACTAACTCCAGAATTCTTTGTTATTGTCGCTGTTCGCCGCACATCGAGGCCGCAAGATTCACCCAATCCCATGACAATATCGTTCGGAAGGATTAATAACGGAAATAATTAATTAAGGAGTTTGTGGAGCTAATGGTCGAATGCATCCGTAATGGAAGAATAGACGGACACTCTCGGCATAGAGCCGGAGTGAGTTCTTGTAGCGGGACTACGGGATTGTTGCTTGTATGCTTTTCCCCCAAAAATTTCGCCATACTTCCTCATAGACCTGTATATAGGAACTGCACAGGACAGTAAATGAAAATAAATATTTGTGATTGGGCGCGAGAAACACAAGAGCAAGATGAAGCATTTAATCATGCACGATTGTGTAATCGTTACTATCACGAATATTTGTAGTCTGTTTAAGGATATCGACTGTGAGAGGATCTCTAGCCTTGAATTTGATATCAATCTTTTGCACAATCAGTGGTTTAGAATGATGTTGCCTCGACTCAATTCTTTTAATGTTGTCTCAATGATGCGAGCAAATCGCACGAGAAAACCATACAATTTATCTTCTCGTTAAAATTGTATTTATCAGTGAATTTCAAATGAATATTATATACCATTTCGCCTTTCTAATCGTGCAAAAAAGACCCGCCATTAATTGGTAAATAATGCTTCAATCAAATTCCATTTTCTCGGGATTTTCACCAGCAATAGGGTCTTCATCACCACTCGCGTCCTGCCTGGGTGTTTCGCAATTAGAATCAGAATCCACATCTAGATTCAGGTCCTTTGAATCTTCTTCGCGGTGTCTAAGTTGTAGCTCGAGCATTCCGTTAACGGGATCCTCGACGTTATTTATGTCAATCCATATCCGTACATTTCCATCTAGACCTCCACTTACAATCATACCAGTCTCAGTGCATGTATCAACCCAACAAACTACGCCATCATGACCACTGACTCTCTGTAATTCTTCTTTTGTCTTCACGTCCCAGAAAACAAGGTTACCATCTTCACTTCCCGATACTATATAACTATCTGACCCAGAAACACTAAATGCTCCTCCTAGGGAATATTTTTTATTGATATGACCCTGATAGGTTTTTTTACAAGTTCCTGAAACATAGTCCCATAAACGAATACAGGAATCGAGAGTCCAGGCAAGAATGTAGCGTCCGTTGGGCGAAAAACAGACATTGGTGACAGGCGCATTATCTTCATGAACAAGAGTTCGGAGACATTGCCCACTGACAGTTTCCCACACACGACTAAGAATGTTAAGCAAATTTGGCTATGAAGTAGTTAACTTACATCAGACCATCAGTTGAGCAACTGCACACCAAGGTTCCATCATGAATAAAATCTACTGAGCTCACAGGATCTGAGTGGGCAGGCAAGCTCCTCAAGTTCTTTCTTGCTCGCAAATCCCAGAGAAAAACGGCTTCATCATAGCTACCACTAGCTAGCATGTTCCCCTTAGGTGAAAATGATACTGAGTAAACATAATTATGATGGCCAAGTAATGGAACTGGGTAAGGCTTTCCTGTTGTTCGGTGCCAAAGTCGTATTGTCTTATCATCTGATCCAGAGGCTATGGTTTTAGAGTCAGGACTCCAAGATATCGTAGAGATTCCAGCTAGATGGCCTCTTATCGTCCGAATATGACTTCCATCAGTTGTATCCCATATTTTAATTGTAGCATCAGCGGAACAGCTTGCAATCCAACGACCATCTGGTGAGAAACGAACTTGCGACACCGGTCCCTTGTGGCCCTTTAAGGTAAATTTTGGTTGAAAGTTGAGTCTTCGCGATTGAGGACCAGAAGGAGACGATGCATGCGAGGAAGAAGATAGACCAGGAGTTCTTGATTTACTGGATCGGCTTCTACTGCAGGTTTGATAAGGACTACTATTTCCAGATGAGAGTGATTGTCGACGACATGATTCTGAACTTTGACGGCTCTCTAGCTCTTGGGAAGTGTGGAACTTGGTTTGCGTTTGCTCGTCTGAGTGGCAATCTTCTTCCGAAGAGTCCTCACTATCATCCTGGATTCTTCGACGTTTGGGAGTTTGATATTCTTGACTTGCCGGGCTAGTATCAGGATCTTTGATTGACATATATAGCTCTGTATATAGTGAAACTTTGGCAAGAGGCGATTTAGGAGTAAGATTTATCTTGAAGATCAATAAAGGCTTTGTTTAATTCGCATTGAATCAATGATATAACCCAAACATTCTTGTCTGGTTTTCTAACATGCTAAGTGCTATTCTGTTCATTAGTAAGCATTCACCTTCGGCTAGAAAATTAGCCAAAGTGGGGAGAGCGAAGTCTAAGAAATTGTCTCAGGCGGTAGCAACGCATCTGATAGAGAAAATTATCTACAGTGCCGAAATGTAGTCGTATTGAGGAGCGAAATTTCAAAGTTTTTGTGGGCACAACGATCGGGATAAGCGGCGTTGGCAAATTCTTGGTCGAAAACATGACTTGCAGAGGTTAAAGGACTGCACAACCCTACATAACCTAACAACTACACCCCCAACACGAACCGCCGACAGGCTCAAGCTTACCTGATATTAATATTAGAACAATCGATATCCTTCACTACCTCTAATTTTCCCGGAAGAATATCCTCAGCTAGTCTTATCACACGACCTCATCCAATATAAGCCTTACCACTTATCGAAGCATTCTAGAAACTAAAAGCCGAAATTACAGTCTACTTTACAAGAATAAATCTATCTCCCCGCAAATTGAGAGCGCTGTGAAGGTATAGTCAAAGAACCGGCCTTAAATACGACTACACCTCAGCCAACGCCACTAGCAACTCTATCTGCGACGAATCGCCATCGACAAAATACGTAAGACACCCCGCCAGCACATTATCCGTAGTATCGAAAAGGGCCAAAGCGTAGGTGCCTCGTTCTTGATCTTCAATGCAGTCTCGGCTTCTATGATTATGGTTACAGCACCAACTGGGCAAGGCCGGCGGGATGGATAATTATCGAAGCTTTTGGGATAGCGTTATTAATAGATTGATAGAGGTGAAGTACAAATTGAGGAATAAAAGATTAGAATACTGAATAGGCCTGATGAACGAGCTGAAGAGACCTCCAATAAAGACAAAACATCGGGAAAAGATGAGGCATGATTGGAATGAAAGAGATGTAAAGCAAAATTTACTAATTCGGGAAGATGTCATGGGCTCGGGCGCGAGTATGTCGAATTTGAGGAGGAATTTGAGCTTTAGTGCGTCAAAATCGGGTTTTCTTAACGGTTGGACTTGACATGTTAAGATATGTGTGAAGTCTGATGTAGTCAAGTCATCTAACAGAGGCGAGATTCGCGAACAAAATGGTAGTTCGCTTGATCCAGCCCGGCCTCACCATCGCTCAAGCTCCAATAGAAGTACAGAAGGCGCCAATTGTCTAGCACGAGGAATATCTTGTGTGCGAACATACAAATATTGGTTTCATTCGACGTTGCTTTGTGTCATGGAGTGCAAATTCCCCACTTTGTGTCGGAGCTGTGGCAATCAACATCGCTCGCACATTGCGGCATCGGTAAACATAGTGCAGTATCGTGAAGATGTCGAAGAATCATTAATCAAAATATTTCCCATCGTTTGATTATTACTACCTCAACAGAAATCGAGTCTAAGGGATTCTGAGGCCGATATAAAACACCCTTACGTACGTGGTGTAATGGTTTGGGTAATTCACATGGCTCACAGACTTGTGAAGCTTTTATAGATTCCCCAGATGACTTATATCCAATACTGGTTGTTATTTTCTCTGTGGCCTTGATATTTCTCCGACCAATATGACCTAGCCTGCTATTCTAGAGTTCCAGAGTGTTCTCCGACTTATTTATAAGTGCCGGCAAGGCAACAGTTACAACTATCTTGTAATATAAAAGGAGTTATCATATGTGGCGAACTCGTCTCCATGAGGGCCGTACATAACTCCATCCTTAAGATACCCCCCCGCTCTTAGCAACTTATCGCCGGTAAAAATTATTCACAGGACATTCAGGTAAGTACAGGACGTCCTTGAGTTCGAGTGTGTTGTTTTTTCAATTTGATAGTCTACACCATAAAGTGACAGTACCGAGACAACGTGGCTTGACTAGTCAACTGATGGTAGCTTTCTTAGGCAGGTCTTAAACTTCCACATAAGAATCAAACTTATCAAGAGAATTTGCATATTGTGAGCTTGCGCCTGTGTCTGGGCGCCAGCGATCTGAGCTCTTTGCCACAAGTCTAGTATTACGGTTTGACCGTGGCTTAGCTTAGATGCAGACCTAAGCGGAGTTTGGGGACGTATTATGGAGAGTGTTCCATGTTATCTTGAATCAAGCGACTAAGTTTCACTTGGCCACATTACCTTGGAGCTAGGAAGGAATGTGAGACGGCGAAGTAGAACTGCCAAGTGCGAGAGTCGAGCTAGATGGTAAAGATAACGACGGGCAGTGGCGGAGCAATATGTCATGCTCACCAGCGGATTACGTACCGGATGAGCTAGAAGGATGTACAAATAGTCATTATCTGTAATTGTGGTACTTCTCTCTTCATATAGTTTAATCTTTCTAAAAGTACACTACAACCAGCTTGGTTTCGTCACATCCAGACAGATTAATACAAGATAGCCCCCCAAATTTAGGGGTTTCTGAATTATCATCACCATCAGCATCAGCACCAGCATGAGATTTCCCCTTATTACCACAAGATTCTTTTTTGACATTGAAGTTCTTCCACCTTTTATTCTTTTTAATTTCCTACTTTTTTCGCAAATATTTATTTTAGAATCTTCGAAGCATTTTCCCATCAAGTGTCGAGCCTTTCGATTTGCATAAAATTTGCAATGTAATGGCTTTGGTTTAATTTTACTTTTATCCTGATTTCCTGGCCCAGATTTTTAATCACCAACATGGGCTTTTCCAAACAATGCCATTAGACTATTTCCAGACCTTGTTTCTGCACGAGCTTCACCTTTGAATGCCGGCAAAGACGAATTCTTCACCTTCCAGTGGTGCCGGTGTAATCGCTCAGTATGCTCTGCATATCTGGGATAGCCAAGAAGAATCGCATCCGAATCGAAGTCGAAAGCAAACACATATATATCTCCATTTGACGACTTCTCAACCATGCAGCACTCATCTTTATCTTCTGAGTCCTCAACCCCGATCTAACCACATATCACTTCGCCTCGACGACCGATAAAGGCATCACCCCAATTGCAAACAGGAGCTTGCCTCATTCATTACCGGCCATCACTCTCTACATATTTACGACGCTATTTATACCCGCAAGGAGGAAATCAAGTCGAAAAATACAAAGTTGGGGTCTTGGTTTATGGGGGACTGCTGCTCTAATGGGGTTATACATCTTGAGGAAGAACAAGCGGCTGAGATGTGGAGCGAGAGGAGAAAGAGGTCTCTGAAGACCATGCTGGGACTGACATTTTCGAGGGGTTTTCAACTTTGGAATTTGTGTGGGCGCCAAGACCAAGATTTCGGCTAATTAGCCAGGGCTTCTTTTGTCGATGAGTCAACGGCACTCCCCAGCGCCCTGGACGGTATAAAAGAAGTTAGGATAAGCTACTATACAGCAATCACGCTCTGTCAAGACTTTTCTGACATTTCAGCACGACCTTCGGGAAGGAGTTGGAAGGAGGCTAGAAAGGCAGAGGGTGAATTTCCCGAGGTACACACAAGTTTGCGGCGCCCAGCTGGCCGGCCTCTTTGAACGCTTCAGAAGGGGCAATATGTCTTCGGATTTATTTCTAATGTCGGTATTAGAAGAGCCCCGCACCCAGTGGTTTTTGCGATTTTTCCCGGCTGCCATACACCCGCAAATGGCCATCGTTTCGTTGGCTGGAGAGGGGAGATAATGAAGGGCTAAGGGCTCCTCTTAGTGTATGATCGAATGAGGACTTGTGAGGGGTGGTACTGTTTGAGGGGTGGTACTGTTTTAGGGGAGCTGTATGGGAGGCATAGGAGGGGATATACTACTGGTATAGGTATCCTTGGCCTGTAGGCAGAGAGGACCTGCATGTCCTACATCGTCATAGACTCAGACAGGACAATAAAATGAATTAATAATAATAATAATATTTGCGAGTGGAATAAAATCTGCGGGAACGAAAAAGTGAGGCGTAGACAAAAAGAAGCGGGCAAGATAGGAGCGTTCCAGGACTGGGAAACCGCATGGAATACTTTTAAGGAAGAACGACTATCTTCTCACCAGGCGTCAGCAGACCCAGAACATTGGACAGCTGCAAGTATAAGCACCGACAAGAGAACAGGTAGAAAAAGAATCACCTACAGAAACACACCCTCTAACATCCACCGAAACCTGAGCAGGGCCCAAAGTAGTATTGCAATACAAATAAGAAGTGAGCATATCGGCCTCAACTCTTATCTTTATAGAAGAAATGTCCCTGGAGTGGCAAATCCAAAGTGCCAGTGTGGATATCAGTCACAAAACGTGAATCATATGGTCATGGCTTGTCCTCAGTGGGCTAAGGGAAGAGGAGAGGTGCTGCAACGGGCAAAAGATAGGTCTTTCGAAGCTATGATGAACAGCCCGGAAGACATGAAGAGAATTACAGATTGGATACTTAAAAACGGCTGGCTTGAACAGTTCCGGCTTGCAGAAGAAGTTGAGACAGCAGTCAGCGAAAGGATTGAGCATTCGGGAAAAGGATAGGACGATATTCACACTGGACGCACAGTGTAAGCGCACTTCCTGTAGGAAACATCGGAAATCATATAGACACGAGACAGATAGTTATGGGGGGTTTTTACCAAATATGGTTTCCTCCTGTGTAAATATTATAGCTAGATATTCCTGCATGGGCCCATAGGGTACCTGAACGGCCAAAATGAAATCAAATCAAAATAATAATATTATTATGTCCTATTACAGTGTATCACGTGATATGCATCATTCCAACACCACATTTGTTCGTTTTTGTTTTGTTTGTTTTTACATTTGGTCCTAAGCTAACGCTATCTTTTCCACATTGGGTCAAGGACCGGTGGAGCCGGCAAGGATCACTGCGTACAGGCCCAACTCATTCCAGCCGCATGAACTTCTACTGAGGAGGGCAAGACTGAACACCTGTACGCGGTGTCCTCTACGAACCTGGGAGTGAAATATTCTCCCAGAGCCAAGTTCAGTCAAATTTCGCAATATCAAAGAAGTTGGCCCACGAGGCAAAAATTCAAATTACTCCACCATGTCAATCTTTCACTCCCAAAGAGTCCGATTCTCAACTAAGCTTCATCAAGTCTACAAGTACGACCTAGTACATCCTCGTTTCAATGACCACACCTCTCGTCGACTTTCTCTGGCCTCAGCCGGTCACCAAATACACGCCCACGCCGATATTTATACCCGACGGAGGAAGCAAAGCGTGGAGCACAAATCTGGGAGATAGCTCTTTGGGATGGACGTGAGAGGGATCAGGACAAGTTCACAAGATGATGCAGAAGAGGGATACGTTTTCGAGGGGCGTGGAATTTTGAATTTTGGCAAGAGTTTTACGAATTGGGCTATGTGCGCGCCAAGACTTCGCTTGCGAGAGTGCAGTTGACACTATAAAAACAAGCAAACGATGGAAGGTGTTGTGGTCCGCCACCTGGTGGTGTTCTCTGGTATAGTTTGAGTAGCCTGGGCACCTACTCCACTTGGGAAGGAGACACCTCAGATCACATATCGCGCGGAGAAAAGTTGAAAGATGATGGAGGCATGCCTGGATAACCCAGGGTTTTTGAGATGTTCCCCTGGGTGGGTATTCACGGATGAGGGTTGACTTGGGGTGAAGAAAAAGCCACCATAACTTCGCAGTGGTACTTGCAAATGAAATCCGAGGCATGAGTGCTCTTCTTGTAAATTGAGTCATCTATCATACACTTCTCTGATATTGTGTCATAGCTAGATAGCTGCATACGCAATTAAAATCTGATGCAAAAAAAAAAAAAAAAAAAAAAAAAAAAGAACTTCTACTGAAATTGTAGAAGTTAACAGCAAAACTAAAATCAAAAACATAAATCAAAAACTGAAATCAAATTTGGAAGAAATACTGTTTGGTCCGGATCCCGAACACCACATTTAATTATATGATTATATAATTAAATCTAGAATCACACGTGATAACGCCAATTCTACAGATAAACTCCAGATGGGCACATGACATGAGGTACTTCCTATGAGAGCCCATTCAAACGAGGTGGCATATACTAAAACATGGATAATTTCCACATTTTAAGACTATTTACGTTTTAAAGGTAAGAGCTTACGGGGGCTAGCTAGCAGAGGGTTTACGAACGATTATTGATGAATCAATGTGAGCTGCTGATGTGTTTGGTATCCAGATTTGTGGGGATTTAGGAGGTAGAAAACGCTAGTTATTTACACATCTGAGGTAGCTAGTCTCTCGTCTTATTTTCCCAAAACAATATCACAGAATGTTCTAGTATCCTCCATCTGGTAGAATAATGTAGAAACACTTTCCTTACAGTGCTCCATTACTCTTCTATTCATCATGGAGCCACCTGGAAAGTTCTTCCCTTACCCACAGTGATCATTACCCTTGTGCTTCGTGACCCTAGCCATCCCTAGCTCAACAATTTCTAACGGATTCATAGTATCCAAGCCGTAACAAGACTAGTTCTCGGATAGAAAACTGTCATAATTATGGGCTTAGATATGAATTAGGGCAAGAATGTAAGTGCGAAGATGAATGTGTGTTGGAAAATAGGTATGGGTTCGATGAGTAAGGCGGCTCAAAGAATATGGGCGCGATTCTATGAATAGAATAATAATGATATGAATCGGGAAAATATATGATATACTATGGAGAAATAAAAGATGGGTTTAATGAATTGAATTGATTAGATTATCTGTCTTGGTGATTCCTACACAGCTTATATCATGTAATTGTTGAATTGTAAGATTGTTGGTCAAACACAATCATTCCTGTACCTGAACATAATGGAGTTATGGTTGTATTTATTACTTACTTAGGAGTATAGAGAGTAAGGCGTTTGGATATCTTAGATACCCTGGATTAGTAGTTCCGTATTAGCGTATAGACGAGGCTGGCAGACACATATTAATAGGAGTATGGGCGCAGCATTGAAGGATGCTGCGATCGCGAGAATCATACACGATAGATTAACTCAATACTTTATCAATTCTGCTTCCAGTACTCACGTACCACTCGTATACAAGAATCTTATTCTAATAGTAATCTTGATAGACCAAATCCAGACTAGATACCATCTATCACTCGTTCCATACTCTAACAACGACAATGAAATGCACGACAGTATACAACATGAGTATGGGGTCAGGGTCGGTGGATGAAAGCCTACGCGTGTATCAGACCATACCATGCACTAGTCGAGTCTCAAGCATCAAACATGCTCAGTAAGGGAGATATCAATCATCTAGGTCATGAGTCAGGACGTGAGTCATGTGTGAGAACCTTAATTGTTCCAATCATGGGGAAACTTCAGACACATGGAGTCTGAATTTCTAACAATGTGGAATCAATTTTCTGGTAGGTGACCAAATGTATCTGGACTTTTTGACGACCAATGGATGTTTAAAGATGAACGCGTAGAGTACAGAATAAGTAGATACACCTGAATATATACATATCGAATTTTTCATACAGACGTGCCCATCGAGTGTTTGATGTACTCATGTATTGTGTAATGGGATTATTTGGTTCTTAAGCTCATGCTAATTAGTATGACTCACAGTTAAGTCATGCATTCGCATCAACTTACACAAATATTTACGGGCAATGTTATCGCTGAATCTGGTCTAGGTATCCCCTGCTTCCTTGCGCAGACTAGGATTATAACAAATCCTGAGCACTCGAATGGATAAAGTGTAAGTGTCTCGTGTTAAGTATTAGAAAGTCAGTTATCGCTTCAAAGTGAGGGCTGGAAATGAAAAATATTCGAGCATATAGCTGGTGGTTTAGAAGCAGCAATGTGGCTAAAAGTGGTTTTACTTCCGATAAAATTTGATATTAGTGGTCGATTGTGGCTTTTTTTTAAATTTTTAGCAGATCATTTGAGGAATTTTCAATGTTTGCAGCCCACATCTGAATCCTCTGAATCAAGCTCTGTTTCATCTTTTTTTGGCTTTCCTTTTCTTTTTGACTTCGTACCTTTGAGCATCATATCCAAAGTTTTTTGCTGCTTTTTGTCCGCCTCGCTTATCTTTTTTTCTACTTGTGCCTGAAATTTCTTTCGATCCGTTGCTCCAAGTCTTTGCAATTTCTCCGACTCCTCTTTGAAAGTTTCAGTATCAAGGTCAACATCTATGAGACTTTCTAGTAGCCGAATTTCCTTGGCCCAAATGCTTTTGTCCTCTACGGTTTTCCCCTCAGCAGTTTTTACATCGATAGGGGTTTCTAATATCATAGGAAGACCTTGAAATGGTCCATAATTCATAACGCTGTGAAAAGCCGTCAAACCAAGAAATCCAGTACCTATATTGCCGTGCACATCTCGATTTGATGAAAATGGTGCCTTGCTGTCATTAAGATGCAACGCTTTTAAGTAGGGCATCCCAACAATGCTAGAAAATCTATTCATAGTTGCTTCAAAGGCTTCTGGGGTTCTCAAATCGTATCCCGCAGCAAATGTATGGCAGGTATCAAGACAAACTCCAACTCGAGACTTGTCGTCAATGAGCGAAATTATATCACGTAAATCTTCCCATGTTGACCCTATCACGTTTCCGGCACCTGCCATATTTTCAAGGAGTGTAATTACTGTTTTAGTGGCTTTGTGCGCCTTGTTAAGTTGTGTTGCGATATTTTGGATTGCTTCATGGCGTTGGTTTTTCCCCGAGTTTCCTGGATGAAAGTTATATAGTCTAATCCCTAGCTCTTCACAGCGGTGAAGGTCATCGACGAAGTTGGTGTATGCTTGTTGAGCTTTCTCAGGGTCTGATTGAGCGAGATTGACGAGATAGGATCCGTGTGGTAGGATATGCTTCGCCGCATCGTAGCTATTTTCAAGGCATTGTACTTTAAACTGATCGCGGGATTCAGTACTAAGAGGCGGGCTTATCCATTTACGCTGGGATTTTAGGAACAAGGCGAACGCGTTACCTCCGATGTGAAGCGCGTTTTTTACAGAATTTTGCACTCCTGTATGGATTTTCAGTTCAATCATTTCGGGTATGAGGGATCAGAGTGGGCTTACCTCCTGCAGCAGAAACATGCGCACCAACAAGCATTGGCTTCTTCAGAGTATCTACCAATGTTCGAGGAGCAAGTGGCATATCTTGAGCTTCCGTTTTGTCTACTTTCTTTTGTTTCTTCCGTAACCTTGTATTGGTTTCGTCAGTCGCCGCGTCTGTTACGTGATTACATGAAACAGTAGATTTAGATTGACTCTTGGTTGGTTTTTTGTTAGCCTCCCCAACTTCATCTACTTTACGCTTGCGTGAGATGGCCATTTCGTTTACATTTGTCAACTGTTGGCGGTTGTTGAAGTTACGCCGCAGTCCTAGCTAGTGAGTAATCGGACTGGATTGTATTCTGGTACATTGGTGTTAGTATGGGACAAATTTTGTATATTTGACTGGAGGTTGAAAGGTTTAAAAATGTAGTCCTTAACTCACTTCTAAATGATTTATATGTCATGTGGTGAAGCGCATGTTTGTTTTCTATTTACAATTAAGGCTAGTCCCCAATGTGGAAAAGGACGCAATTGTATAGCTCTCACAATGTTGCATTCCCAATGGACATGGGTCATGATCAGGTAACTTCACATAAATTATGGTTTGGTAACTAGGCCAACATAATTATCTCAAAATTTACATTTAATAAAGCTCACGTGCGATTGCTCTCGTCAAGCATTTTGATGCGCTCCATAGACGATATAAGTTGTAACGAAAACTATCAAACAAACCTAATGTCTCACTCAGACGACCTTATAAACTTTGCTGTCATTGAGGATCATAAAGAAAATATACAGTCGCTTCCAGGTGGGCATTCAGCTCGTGCTTTAGCTAACCTATTTTCGCCTTCATCCAGCAACACCTCGAAATCAGCCGCTACACCTACTAAGAATATTAATGATACTGCTAGAAAAGAGTACGAAGCTGAACTAGAAAATATCTCTGAATCGGATGATCCGCTTGACATCTATGATAGGTACGTCCGGTGGACGATTGAGACTTACCCATCGGTCCAAGCAACCCCTTCATCACAATTACTACCACTGATTGAAAGGGCGACCAAATCCTTCATCAGTTATCCACAGTATAAAAACGATACCAGATATTTAAAGCTATGGATTTATTACATACAACTTTTTTCTGATAGCCCTCGAGAGGTTTTCGCTTATTTAGCTCGTCACAACATCGGAGATAGTCTTGCAGTCTACTACGAAGAATTCGCTGCATGGCTTGAGTCAGCTGGTAGATGGAATCAGGCAGAAGAAATCTACAAATTAGGGATATCTAAAGAAGCCCGACCAATAGCGCGGCTACTTCGAAAATTTGATGAGTTTCAAAAGCGATATGATCAAATACCAGAACATGCCGACCAGCCTCTATCGCCTGCTATACCCAAAATGAGATCAGCTCTCTCAACAAAGCTGGATCCTTTTTCTACGACGGTGGCAGTTGATCCTCAAACATCGAGGCCAAATCCTGTAACCGGTGTAAAGCCAAAAGTTGGTCGGCATAAACTCCAAATATTTTCCGATGAAGATGGGAAAGCCCCTGTGTTAGCTGCTGATGTGGACACAAAAGGGTGGCAGAGTATCGGGTCTCTCTCAGAACGCAAGAAGGAGAACATCATTCAGGCTAAGCCTTGGGTTGGTGAGACTCTTAAAGCTGGTGGGAAAAAGATTAATGAAAAAATCCCAGTTTTCAAAGACGAGGTATGTTTGTTGCGAATCATATAAACCACAGTTATTGATTAACACAGGACTAACAATTTTCGTTCTGACATTGTGTAATTCAGTCTACATCACAGTATGATTATCTACAAATTACAGATCCTGCTCAATATCAGGTTACAAAGAACCAAAAAGGTCGGATTGAAAGGATATTTGTAAACCTTGAAGCAGTCTATCCCTTTCCTAACAAATTTGGGAGCGAACTTAGTATTGAGGAGCTCATAGCCGGTAACAGAGGTTGGTTAACAAAAATATGGAAACCTGAAATATGTAAAGAGAGCTCTCTACCTGTATCTTCCAAATCATCAAAGTATCTGGCAAAATTTTCCGTCTCTCCGAATGATAGCCAATCATCAAGTCCCAACGAGAATACCTCACGTGTCCACGAAGCAGCCCAGCTGGACGAAAACTGTATGGTAAAAGAACCTCACCGAGATCGACCCAGTCGAAAGATGAAGGTTAGAGAAATTAACGAGACACAGATCAGTATGGTTAATCTTCCCCCCAATACACAACTGCTAATGAAAGAAAGTTAAGGCAAAACTATCATCACCTACAGGTCCAAAAATATCTAAAAGAAAAAACAGGGAACAAACTATGACCATTCATACTAAAGCTGCAACAGATGAAATATACGGCCTATTTAACCAGCCCCTTGAGCTAAATCATTCAGACAGTGAAAGCTCTTCTGATGGTTACAATACAAGTGGTGGTGATAGTACTGGTACAGGGCGAGTATTAACGAACAGTGAGGCTGAAGATGACAACGAGACCCTAGGTGGTAAAAGCGTTAGTGAATGGACCGAATTTACAGCTCAGAATCAAATTGATGCCGAAGGCATCGAGAGCGAAAGAACAAATTCTTCCATACGTCCTGAAATGGACTGCCAGGAATATCCGTTAGACGACTATAAACACATAGACCCTGAACAGGAACCAAGTGCTTCTTCTCAAGATACCTCTTCCTTTCAATTTGAAAAAAACTTCAATGTTCCATTAATATCTAAAGATACCGCATCTCAGAACCCACCATTCCGAACTTACATCCAATGTTCTCAAAACCGACTGCCGTTCTTAACACCAATAGCTGAAAAAACAGAGTCCTCGCTAGGCATGCGAACGGTTATTCTAGAGAGAAAACATCACTCAGAAACCTCACCAAGTAGGGACGCTTCACGTAAATGTACATCCATAGTCGATAGTTTCGATAACCCTCTCCCAGAAGAGTTTCCAAATGAACTTGTAAGCAAAGCCGAACAGTATTTGTACATAAGCACTCCTCAGCAACGTGCCCGTGAACCAAACAGAAATATCGACATTACGCCACAAAGAGTGCTTGTAAATGATAGCAAATGTAATCCTACAGACCAAATACTTCGTGAATCTATACTGACTTCCCTTGAACCATCTCTAAATGAGTATGATGGATATTTCGAGCACAAGAACGAAATTGGGGGCAGGTCTACTGAAATTAAGAAATTTATTAAAGCCATGGCAAAAGTCCAGCGAAAGACAAGCGATAAAAGTGCACTTAACTACAAAGGCGCACCCATATTACGATTTCCTGGAATGAGCTGTCAATATCTGGTTAAGCGTGAACTAGGCGCTGGCACATTTGCACCTGTATATCTTATCGAAAATATTATGGACGAGGCTCTCACATCACCTCTGATACGACAGAATTTTATGTCCGACGTAGATGCAGTTGAGAAGGGCTGTCTCAAAGCACTTAAGATGGAACATACTCCATCTTCCTGGGAATTTTACATGTTAAGGCAATCAAAATATCGTCTTCGTGACTCGCGCGCTATTGACAGCATAATAGACGCCTACGAGATGCATATGTTCAAAGACGAATGCTACCTTATAGAAGAATTTCACGATCAAGGTACCCTCTTAGATATTATAAATATCACAATGGCGGACAAGTCCGGTCCAGGTGTGATTGAGGAGGTGCTTGTAATGTTCTTTGCAATTGAACTCTTCCGCACCGTCGAAGAATTGCACACACATGGAGTTCTACATGGCGACCTCAAGGCTGACAACTGCTTAGTAAGGTTTGAGCGGCTCGCCGAAAGTAATGTCTGGAGCAGCAAATATTGTCGGGATGGGTCGGCCGGTTGGAAAAGTAAAGGTATCAAGTTGATAGACTTCGGCCGAGCCATTGATAAAAAAGTATTCAATCCTGAGGTCCAATTTATCGCAGATTGGGAGTCAGGTCCGCAAGATTGCGCTGAGATTCGTGAGATGCGACCTTGGACCCATCAAATCGACTACCACGGACTTGCAGGAATTCTCCATTCAATGCTTTTTGGGAAGTATATTGAAACTGTGGCTGATAATCGTGGCGAAATTGGTCCACACGTCAAAAAAACATGGCGGCTCCGTGAGAACCTTAAGCGCTACTGGCAAGTAGAGATTTGGGCTGAGGCCTTTGACATCCTACTCAACGCCACGTCTCACATGGAACGGGAGGAAAATTCACAGTTGCCGATCACGCGTAGCATGCGTGCTTGCAGGATGAAAATGGAAATATGGCTAGAGGCCAACAGCGAGAAAGGGATCGGACTTCAAGCTATCATAAGGAAGCTAGAAACGCAACTATCTCGCAGAAAGTGAAGAATTATGTCTAGAACTTACTGTGAAATATCAGCTTGGTCGTCTGCCACACTCCTGTGGGACAAAATTTTGGAACCCAAATTCGAGCTTCTAATCCTGCGAAAGTATTTACCATCACATATATTTCTTGGCTTGTTGACAATAGATAGCCGAGGATATATTATAATCCTACCAAATATAGCCCTTTTTACGCACAAAGCATGCTTTCACGTTCTTCCACAAAAATTCTACTGTCTTTATTCACCGTGAGAAAGTATGCCTAGCAATTTACAATGCATTTAGCATGAAAAAACTGTAAACCACCAGAAGTATCTCTAAATTCTAACTCATCACTGTCAATCACAGTTGAAAAAATAAACAATCTGCCATTGAAAAGCATTTATATCTCTGCGCTTTGACAAGTATTAAAACTAAACAATAATCTCTGTTCATAAATCATGAGGCCAAGCAGTGTTGATCTACCCCGCAGTAGTAATACCTAGGAAATGGCTCATGCAAGTTATGTTGGATTCTAATAGCTGGAAGATATAAGGCCAGCTGCGGCATGATCTTTATCACTGTTAAATCTGTGGTTATAGCTGACTGTTGGGGCATTCTAATGAGTCATAATGCCTCAGTTGGAATCGTTAAATCGCACCGAATTTAATTAGAGTATTAATTTACCAAATACTTCTATGAAAGAGTTAACGCTCCAGATACTGCTGCACTAGAGTAATGACGGTGAGGCTTTAACTTAAAAATGCCTGTCAGTTTTTCTTCATGCCAGATAGACAATTGGTTTTCTGATCATATTTTGATGATGGGCATATGAATTGATGTGATCAGTTCAATAACAAAACAAAGCTAGATTCAGCGCCGAGAATACGATTACACGCAACAAAATTCTTTACCTGTTCATAATTTTGAGATCTGGGAGGAGCTTAAGGATGAAATATCGGAGGCAGAGGAGTGAGTGGTGATAACAAATACGCTAATAAATGTGTATTCGCAAACTTATGTTTAAAATATTTACCAACTAGATAGTTATGCTTCTTTCACGTTCACAGCCTGTCATAAATTCAGACTCTGTGTGTCTGAAGTTTCCCTTTGATTGGAAGAACTGAGGTTCTCACACATGATTCACGACCAAGATGATTGATATCTTCTTTATTGAGCATTTTTGATGCTTGAGAATGAACTAGTGCATGGTATGGTTTGATACCCGTGTAGACATCCATCCGCCGACCCTGACCCCATACTCATGTTGTATACTGTCTTATGATTCATTGTTATTATTTGAGTATGAAACGAGTGATGGATGCTGTCTAATTTGAATTTGGTCTATCAAGTGCACATGTATATAAGCTAACTAGGAATCACTAAGACTATTGTAAATGTGTTAGTGCCTAGCAGGGATAACACACTCTAGATGCTGTATTAGGCTAGCTATGTTGATCGTGTCGGAGCGAGATCGGGTGTGGTAATTATAGAACACTTACTCCCGTTAGATTTTAAGGCTAGTTAATCAAACACTATTGAACCTACCGTCTTGCTTCTCTTGCACATTAGTACTCTGTCGGTGATAATTACATTGCAGGGTGCTTCTTTTCAACAAAGACATATAATTACTCAATTAATTCTATCCATTTTTATTTCTCCAAATTAAATCAAACATTCGAAAAAAAAACATCGTTTTCACGAAAAGCGGCGCCACGTATCATGAACGTTACTTCTTTGGATAATTATCAAAATCTTAATAGTCCATTATTACCTGTCTCCTCAAAATTTTCACGTTTTTTATTTTTGCATTAGATATTAATTGCGTATGCAGCTATCTAGTTATGACACAATATCAAAGAAATGTACAGAAAAGATGACTCAATTTACAAAAAGTGTACTCATGCCTCAGATTTCATTTCCAAATACCACTGCGAAGTTATGCCGGCTTTTTCTTCACCCCAAGTCAACCCTCATCCGTGAATACCCACCCAGGGGAACGTCTACAAAAACTCTGAGTTATCCAGACATGCCTCCATCATCTTTCAACGTTTCTCCGCGCGAAATATGATCTGAGATGTCTCCTTTCCAAGTGGTGTAGGTGTCCAGGCTACTCAAACTATACCGGAGAACACCACCAGGAGGCGGACCACAACACCTTCCATCGTCGGCTTGTTTTATAGTGTTAGCTGCACTGTCGCAAGCGAAGTCTTAGCGCACACAGAGTTCAAATAGTAAAACTCGTTGCCAACGTTCAAACTCACTCGCCTGTCGAGATTCCATCCTTCCTTTGCACTATCTTGTAAACTTGTCCTGATCCCTCTCACATCCATCCCAAAGAACTGTCTCCCAGATTTGTGCGCCACGCTTTGCTTCCTCCATCGGGTATAAATATCGGCGTGGGCGTGTATTTGGTGGTCAACTGAGACCAGAGAAGGTTAAAGAGAGGTGTGATCATTGGAATAAGGACGTACTAGGTCGTACTTGTAGACTTGATGAGTCTTAGGTAGGCGTCAAACTCTTTGTGAGCGAAAAAGCGAAGTCGTGGAGTAATATGAATCATTGCCTCGTGGGCCAACTACTTTGATATCGCGAAATTTGAATGAACTTGGCTCTGGGAAAATATTTCACTCCCACATTCGTAGTGGACACCGCGTACAGGTGTTCAGTCTTGCTCTCCTGGCGAGAGCTTGTTGCAGTAGGTGATGACAAGAGGAGTCGAAGAGCCGCTTCTTGATTATCTAGGCCAATAGTTACTGTTGGTATAAATGTCCTGACCTTACTTTCCAATGTTAGTCATGGATTAGTCATCGTTCATTATGAGTATTAGTATCTTTTTGTAGAATAGGACAATAGACAAGATCCACCAACACATTTCATGAAACGGAGGACGAAGGCTGAACACCTGTCAGTGGTGTCCTCTACGAACCTGGGAGTGAAATATTCTCCCAGAGCCGAGATTCAGTCACGAAAATGGGTGGGATGAATTTTAATTGATGGATTTTCGACTTGATGGGGTTTCGCTCGATATTTTGGTCGAAAAATCAGTCGACAGAGATTTCACAGCCGGAACAACGTCGAACAAAATGTCATCATCACCAACATACGATTCACGAATGGGCCTAGGTCTATCTGGGGGTCGTATTCAAACATCCGACATCTCTTAAACTCCTTTTATACTTGCGACGAATCATTTCTCAATCGATCCTACACCTGCGACCTACCTCCATACCCGTCCGATCACCTACTTACACACGCCCTATTGAGGAAAGTCATGATGGAAACGGGACGTGTACAAAGGAGGAAGAAGAGGAGGGAAGATACACCGAGTGGATTACACAAATCCCCAATGACGAAAACAACCCAACGGTACGATATGAAGGTGCAAGGCTAGAGCAACGATGAGATCTTGAACGGCATTTATATTTCGGAGTCAATGAGGATGTCAAGGGCTCGGGCGCGTGGTGGCCGAGGCTGAGGAGGGAATTGCGCTACAGCGTGTATACAGCGGGTTTCTGGACGGTTAGGCTTGGTATGATTCAACACATGGGTGAAGTCTGAGGTGGTCCGGTCATTAAAGTGGGACGAGGTTTATCTGTACTTCACGGTAGTTAACCTGATCCGGCCCAACCCCGCACGTGCTTAAGCTCCAATAGGAGTGCAACGGTAGCCATGTAACCTAGCATGTTAATGAACAAAACAAAACAAAAACAACCGTAGAAACGTGACATATAGTTTACGTTCTTTGCACCGTGTTTAAGTATCCCGACTGTCACTTTTGTTGCATAAAAGGCCATGGTATTGTGGAGGGTAGCTGCACGACCCGCTTTTCGGCCAACGGCGCCCATCTTTTCCAAAGATTCATCGCGTCCAATTTCCCTAAGAGGAAGGATGTTATCCTCTGAGAGCTCAGGTGAAATCCTTTCTCGAATCCCGCACATTCTCGAAGAATTCCACCTTATCCAAATAGGGTGTGCTACACTATTTTTCTTACTATTATTTAATGTCGTGCTAGCTCGCGAAACAACCACAATCCTTTGTAATTCGAATTTTCGAATCTTCTCTTTGTCCCCCTCTCCTTCCCTCTCGCGCTCGTCGCATTCCTTCAACAAATTGTGATCGAGTCGCTGGCATTTTTATCATGCCACCTGTTCGATAAAAGCTCACCAACGCAATGTTGGACAACGCGAGAGTCCGCCCGAGGGCTCCTGCAAAAACATCTGGCCTCGCGCAAAAATTATCAAGCCTATTTGCGAGTGAGGCCTTTATCCCTGGGAAGTCTTCCACACTTCCCGATCAAGAGATGACTGATTTTGAGCCCGTCAGGTCAGCAAAATTTGGTCCCGAGGCCAAAATCTTATCGAGCTTGCCCCAGAGGCAAGTACCTCAAGGAAAGGAAAGGAAATCGTCCGAGAGAAGACGACAGAACATGCTGAAACGTCTTCAATAAAATTCGCTGTGCTAGCTTCCAAGGGCACAGCTTTGACATCAGGAATGGAGTTTCCTCCGGAGCTGCAAACCATGATGGAGACCGAAAAGCGACGGACGACGCAAATTACGGCCCGCCTCGCCATCTTCTCGACTGAGATAAACATTGTTGAAGCAACTCTTTCGCCTCCTTTGATCGGCGATAATAAAGAATTCGTAGACGTTATAAAAGTCTACCTACGAACAGCCGTTAGCCAGTTTGTTCAATCCGGTCCAGGAAGCCCACCACCAGTTCTTCCTGCTCACCCCGTCAAGGGCTCCAGAAGCTAGGGTATCTATATTGTGATGTAATAGCCATAGTTGGTTTGAGTGCACCCATGTCCGAAGTACAAGTGCTAGTATGCGATACAGGGATTAAATACTCCCAGCACGACTTATTACTATCAGCGCTTAGAACTGAGTGTTACTAGTACAACGCAGTGCAGGATATGTTACTCCAGTTACGTGACAATGGGCTTTGTGCCGCTTCAACCACACTGACGCTACACTTATATGCGAGTGTGGGAGGGAAAAATCAATTGGTCACCTTGTCCAGT